ATAGAACCAGAGTAACATGCAATTCTTGACGTAAAAAAAAAAAGAAAGAATATATATCTCTCATTCACACAGTCATTGGCTTAAAGTAGTCAGGTTGTTCATTGAGAATATTTGTTGAGTCATTCACATAGTCAACATTTATTGTGACAAATCTACTTTGCCTTGTACTTGGCAATGGGAATGCTGGAAGTCTTAACCTCTCTAGAGCATGAGACCAGAGGATATAGAAACCACATTATTTGGGAGCATACCTATTTAGCCTGTACTTAGAAATAATGGATCCAATCCCCAATGAAATACTAACAAACCAAATCCAGCAAAATATTAAAAGTATTACATATCATACCCAAGTAGGCTTTATCTCAAGAATGCAAGCTTTGTTTAACATCTGAAAATAAATTAATGTAATATGCTATATTAATAAAAAACAAAAACCATTTTATCATCTCAAGAGAGGCAAGAAAAAAAGCCTTTGAGAATATCCAACACTCTTTCATGATAAAGACACTCACAAACTAGGTATCGAATGGAAATTTTTGATCAAGGGCATCTATGAAAAAAACCATAGCTAATATGACATTTAATGGTGAAAGATAGGCGGCTTTTCTCCTTAGATCAGCAACAAGACAAGAATGTTGACTTCTATTTAACATTATACTGTAGAAGTGAGAGAACATTATACTATATAATGACTGAGAGCAATCAGACAAGGAAAGAAATAAAAGGCATATAGATTGAAAAGGGAGAAATAAAATTACCCCACTTGCACCTGACCTTCTATATAAATCTTGTATATAGCATGATCTTGTATATAGGAATCCACTGAAACAACCATTAAGACGAAAAATGAGTTCAGCAAAGATGCAATCTACAATTTTTATACACCTATAAACTAGCAAGGGACATTCTGAAAATGAAATAAGAATACAATTTCAGCCCTGACCAGCATGGCTCAGTTGGTTGAGTATTGCCCTACGAACTGAAAAGGCTGCAGGTTCGATTTCAGTCATGGCTCGTGCCTGGGTTGCAGGATGGTCTGTGGTTGGGGCACATGGGTTTGAGAGGCAATGGATTGATGTTTCTCTCCCTTTCTTTCTCCCTCCCTTTCCCTCTCTCTTAAAAATAAAATCTTTTTTTAAAAAAAGTGTATAATTTCATTTATGATAGCATCAAAAACAATAAAATCCTTACAGATCAATTTAACAAATGAGGAGCAAGAATTATACACTGAAAATGATATTGTGGTAAGAAATCGAAGAAGGTTTTTTTTTTAAGAAATCAAAGAAGATTTAAATAAATGGGAAGACGTCCATATTTATGGGTTGAAAGACTTCTGTTAAGATAAGTCATATTACTCAAATGGATCTACAAGTTCAACGCAATTCTTATCAAAGTCCCAGGCTGACTTTTTTTTTTGCAGAGATTAAAAAGCTTATTATAAAATTCCTATGGAAATGCAAGGAGACCAGAATAACCAAAAGAATCTTGGAAAAGAAGAACAGTGTTAGAAGACTTATATTTTTCTGTTTCAACACTTACTACAAAACTACAGGAGAAAAATAGTATGGCGTGTTAATAGATGTCTAGGCCAATGGGACAGAATTGAGAGTTCAGACATAAACCCTTACATATATGGGCAATTGATTGATAATTGACAAGGGATTCTGTAACACTCTGAGCTGCAAACCATACTATCAAATGAGTAAAAACACAACCCAGAGAATGGGACAAAATATTTGCAAATTATACATCTGATAAGGGACTTATATCCATTATATAAAGAACTCTCACCCTGGCTGGTGTGGTTCAGTGGACTGAGCACCAGCCTGCGAACCAAAGGGGTCGCCGGTTTGATCCCCAGTCAGTGCCTGGGTTGCAAGCCAGGTCTGCAGTCGGGCGGGGATGGGGGGGCACCAGAGGCAACCGCATATTAATGTTTCTCTCCCCCTCTTTCTCCCTTCCCTCCTGTAAAAATAAATAGATAAAATAAAATAAAACTCTTATAACTCAATAATAGGAAGGCAAATTGCCTAATTAAAATCACTTTATTTGGGCAATTGCACTGTTAGATATATATCTGAGAAAGGAAAACATATGTTCATCAACAGTCAATACATGAAGTTCATAGCAGCATTATTCATAATAGCCAAAAAGTAGAAACAATCCAAATATTCATCAAACTGATGAATGGATAAGCAAAATATTGTATATACATACAATGAAATGTTATTTGGCAATTAAAAGAAAGTACTGACGTGGTGCAACATGGATGACCCTGGATCACATCATGCTAAGTGAAAGTAGCCAGCCACAAAAGGCCCTATGCGCTATGAGTATATGAAATGTTTAGAATAAGCAAAGCAAATCTATAGAGACAGAAAGCAGATTATTGGTTAATTTGGGGGTGGTGATTGTGAAAGACAGGAATAGAGATTAATGACTACACAACACTGTAAATGTACTAAAAAACAATAAATTGCACCCTTTCAGTAGGTGAATTTTACGGTATGTTCATTATGTGACAATAAAGCTATTTTAAAAAACAGAAATAATGGGCCTAACTGCATGTTTTCAGAAATAATTTTTAGTGGTCTTCCTAGCTCCCAGAGAAATAGATGCAGCCTTAAGCTGATTGGTTCAAAAAAGCCTGGACTCAAGAGGGTGAAAAGCAAGTGAACATGTAGCCTATAAATGTGATTCTTACAAAAGTCCAAATGCAGTAACAAGTGTGAACTATTGGGACTCTTGGGATACTGATTCCTGAGACTCAAACAGATTTTCTCCCGCTGAGTGTTCAAGATGAGAATCATCTTCACCATTATGACCCCTAGCAGGTACTCTAGGCTTACAAGTAGATGGCTGAGACCAAAAAGAACAAAAATCTTTACACTTTTTATAAAGCCACAGTTAAACAGCTAACAAGGAGACAACAAAATACTTGGAAGAGTAGAGGGTTTGACATTCTCAGAGAAGAACACCAACATGAATATAAACCTTCGATGTGACAACCAAAAGTTCTTTGGTCATTGTTGGTTTTATATTTTCATTTAGAATTTGATGATGGTAAAACTTCAGGGAAACGGAGCCATAGTAATTGACTTAGAGAACCCAAGTGGGTAGCGTGAGAAAATTACTCCATTCTTCCAATACCAAAACCTGAGTCATAGCCACTATCATCCCTTAACCAACAAAACAAAAACAGAACTGGAAAAATCCTCGCTACTCATGATGTGTGGACTGTCACTTCTACACATACAAGCTCTTAAACAACTAAACAGAAGCGCCACCATTTAAGTAAATTCATATCGTGAGCTATTTCTCTGAAATATCTTTTATGGTCAAGAATAACTTTTTGCCGAAATTACTTTTATCTAAATAAATGGCACAATCTCTTGACATGATTAGCCATTTCACAAAGGAGAGCAACCTGGGTGTTTTTTGTCCTACTGGATAAGAGCTAGGAAAAGTCTCATTTTAGGATTCTGTCCTTCTTCTTAGTCATCATTTATGGAATATTCCTTGATTTTTGTAAACACAAAATTCACTCTTCTAATAATAACTCCACCTTAATACTTTGTGGCAAAAGAACTATATTCAGGGTAGTACTTTATACTTGAGATGCTAGAGTACTGACTTAGTTCTCTGCTTTGCCAGCGCAGAAATTTAAAAATATAACTCTTCCTTGAAATAATAGAAGTCACACTGCTTCAAAGACAAAGGAAACTAAGTCTATGTGCACAACATAGTTTTCTAAAATTAAGATCCCAATCAACACACCCTCTCCCAAATCTCCAAAAAGCCATCAATATGAAGTCTCTGATGTTCTGGAGCAATGTACAACCATGTCAGTAAGGGAAGGTGTGACCTTTTGGGGTTCTCGTTTCTCTCCATGGCAGAGGGTTCATTCTTTTAGGGCATCAACATAAGCCCCAGCAAAATGTATGATATTTCAGGGAGTGAGGCCCTGGAGTGTAATAAACAAACCCATGTGGGGAGAGGTTGTGATGATAGAAGTCTATCTAGTTAGAGACATCCTGGAGCTGATTAAAAAAAACCTTCATCTATGCCCTGTCATTTCCTCTCAGGAAGATCCTGTAGATGCTTACACAATTTTAAAAGTGTATCAAATATCTCAAGGAAAAATGGAAATGGCCTCTTTGAGGCATCTTTAATTGTCTATGGAAAAATATCAAAATGGTACCTTTTAAATTTATTTCATTCTCCAGACACAAGTAACACGACCAAAAAGTTGTTTATCCCTGCACTCCTGGAGAAATGCCACATGTACCTTCCTACGTTTTCTTTTTTGTTTAATTAAATGGAAAAAAAAGAAGCTTAAAACAGGGCATTATAACTCAGAAACGTTACACACGTTTCCATAATACAAACTTAAGTGCTCGGTAGCTGAGTTCATGAGATATATTCCCCCAAATCTTATAGCTTGTGTGTCTAACATAAACAACACAAGAATCATTTGAAACAATTAAGCATTTCTTTTTTGTAGTTAGTTACTAAGTATTCAGCAGTCTACCAGGAGAAGAGAAAGCACGTCTACTCCAAAAAAACAAACCATAAATCAGTTGAAATGCTTGAAAGAATTCAGTTCTGGTCTGTCCAGAAGCCAAGTGTAACTACAGAATAACCTGTTGGCACGTTTATCTTACTCTCTAAGTTAAGCGTTTTAAAAACACAGCGCTACGCAAATGGCGTTTCTTGTAAATTTCAGGCTCAGAAGTAACTCAGATAAAGACCTAAGGGAGGCATCCCGTGCAGAAAATGGAGCCTGTGCCTTTAAGGTAAAATCGGCTGGATCCCAAAAGGCATTCCACTTTTCCACGACAAAGAGTTCGGGGGAGCGCTACCTCTCGGGTTTCTCGGAGGGACTCGCGGGTTCGGGCAGAGCAGGACTAGTCGAGGGGCCCCCGACCGTCCCCGCTGCCCCAAGCGAGCCCAGCGCTGGCCCGCGCCGCGGGAGCGCATCGCGTGCGCCCGGGACTCACCGCTGCTGGGCTGCGGGGACAGCGTGGAGACCGAGGTCTGGCCCATGTCTAGGGTCGCAGGGCCAGGTCCGGCGATCACAGGGCTCTTTTGGTCCTTCGATCATGGGTCCGCTCGCAGAAAGAGTTCCAAGCGCTCATCTCCCGGTCTGTGCGGAGCTGCCCGCAGGGTCCCTCACCTTCTCCCAGCGCGGGTCTCCCAGCCCCGCCGGCCACAGCCGGCAAGGCGGATCCTGCCCAGCGGATGCCTGTCATTCCTCTATGCAGATTAGCCAGGGTCAGGGGTCACGGAGGAGGAGTGAGGGGGAGAGGGCGAGAGGGAGGGGGGCAGGGGGAAGTGGGGGCGAAGGAGTGGGGAGGGGAGAGGCCCGGGTTCTAGGAGGCCAGCACATCCCCCTCCATCCATGGCAGTAGATAGTTCAGGCGACTCCCTTTTAACTTAAAAGGTCCAATGTCAAATGATCCTTTAGGGGTGGAAGAAAAGGAATTACTTAGTCAGGGTACTTAATTTAAGAAAATTTGTTTCTTTAATGTTAATTTCCTTCCTGACATAGTGTTTGCAGTATTGCAGCACTGTTAGATGTCTCCTTTTTTGTGCATTTTTTTCTTATTTTAAAAATTATCTCCCTTGTAACAAATATAACTAAAAAACAAACGGACGACACTGGTGGCCTCAGTCAGGCTGCACAATAAACCTGAAAGCTGGGTCTATGGATAAGATCAATTAAAGCACACATTCTACCACCTAAAGTCTCTGACACTCACCTTTCCTATATTACAAACAAATCACGGTGAGGACTAGGAGACCATGTGGTAAGGTGTTTAAAACATATTGACGCGAAAGGTAAAGACAACAAAAACAATAGTAATTTATTTTGAAAGATAACGTTGCCTCAAAGTTGAATTAAAGTCTACTATAATATCCTATTAAATAGGATAATCTCAGTCGTCTTCAAAATACGAATATAGCCCTGGCTGGGTTGCTCAGTTGGTTGGAGTGTCTGCCGGTTCATCAAAAGTTTGCAGAGTTCTGGTTTGATCCCAGGCAGAGCACCTATCAGAGGCAATGCATCGATGCTTGTCACTCTCTTCCGCACTCTCTCTTTAAAGTCGGTTATTATATCCTTGGGTGAGGATTAAAAACAAAAAAAGCTCCAAACTCCCCAAATATTAATAAATACTCTTGGTATTTACAATTGATGATGAATTAGCATGATGAAACATCTAGGACATACACACACACACACACACACATATATATACAGGGGTTGGCAAAAGATGGTGTACCTGTTATGAGTGCTCAAAACAGAGCTTATTCTTGTGTTATTATTTATTATTGTATTATTTTCCACACAAACTATAAACCTACTTTTGCCCCCACCATGTTATCTAAAGAGGCAGAGCACACTGAATCACAACTGATGTATCACCATAAACCACTGAAACTGGGAAAGAGTGCTAGGTGCTTTAAAAAATCCCTAAAACCTCAGGAATCCATAACTTGTGAAAATACACTTCAAAAATAGAAAAGCAATAGTATTTTCTATTTTATATATAAAAGATAAAAAGCAATATGTATCTGTGTGTTGCTTTATTTTTAAAAGATATTTGCTTCTTTATTTCATCATAATTGCCCTAATTTTTAACACCCAAAAAGCCCACCTGATTGTGGGCAAGATCCCCACACCCCCCCGGAATAGTGTGATCAACTATCTACTTCCCTTTGCCTAATTCACTCTTAAGAAATCATGATTTTTTAAAAACGAATGGAGGATTAAGATGTGAGTTTTAATTAGAATATTGAAATTACTCAACTAAGTTTCCTTAAAAGTGCAAAAATGTTGTGTTTTGGGGGCTCTAGCAGTGAAAGTAAGCAACGGTAGTGATTTTTCCATTTCTTTGCTTTCAGTTGCCTTAAAACAACAACAAAAAGCCCAGGTTAAGTGTCCTTCACCCTCAATTGAGAGAGGGGAACTTGTCGCTCTCTCTTTGGCTGATGGAATCTAATTAATAATGGCAGTCATTGATTAGAGGAAATCCATATTAAATGTTGTACATTCAAATACATAAATGTAATGATTTTCTAAAACTGACAAAAATTCAACTGGTGTGGCTCAGTGGATTGAGCGCCAGCCTGCGAATAAAAAGTTCGCTGGTCTGACAGCCCGTCAGGGCACAAATCTGAGTTGTGGGCCATGTCCCCAGTAGGGGGCGCTCAAGAGGCAACCACACATTGATATTTCTCTCCCTCTATTTCTCCCTCCTTTCTCCTCTCTAAAAATAAATAAAATCTTTTTTTAAAAAAAAATCAACTTTGAGATACAATATTTTTGCTCTCATTGCTTCTTTTCCTTGAGAAACAATAATGTGTCTCCTTTATTTTCTTCTACAGATTCTTATTTCAAACATCAAAGTGGTACTACTCCATAGTTCCAGTCTTTCAGTATTTGCTAAATCCATCCATATTTACTTTATTCAAAACCTTTCAGGATTTGCTAGTTAATATAATCTTAGCCTCATCTGGGATTCTTATAATCCCCCGATCAGGTTACGAACTTTTCTCTGAAACTTTTCCAGTTCCATTACATTATCCGTGAAGCATGTCAACCAAAGCCGCAGGAAGTGTGCACCGGGTTCCGACAGACGGGTGGGGCCCTTGTTCTATTCGATTTCCAGACCATCGGATGGGCTTGGCGCTCAAGCAGCCCTTCTACCACAGCTAACAAATTATTCTGATGAACATAGAAAAAGTCTACAGAAAACACTAAATTTCATTTCTAGGTTGTAATATACAGGTTGGAACTTGCTTAACATGGGTATTTAAATATAATTTCCCCCCAATTTGCCTTACTCTTTCCTTATCCTGCTATTATTCAGCCAACTCACAGTTTTCTAAGAGTTCTGGATGTTAATTCTATGGGCCTAGAGTTTAAACTGTGGGAATGTTTAATGTTATCTGAAAAATATGGATAGTTGTCTATTACCTCTTTCCAGGGGATTTACAAAAATGCTAAGCAAAATTAGTGCCAACATTTAACTCTGAAGAAACCATCCATAATTCTTCAGCATTTATCTCATTGGCCCTGCTATTTGGACTATATTTCTAAACCAGCTTCTTATCCAGCGATACCCTGACATTTAATCAGTTTTATCTGGGGGTAGGGGACAAGACTGATGTGCAATTTTTAGTGTTTGCCAGTTTCCAAGGTGTACACACTCCTCCAGTGGCCAGTTCAACACGTGGTCAAGCAGCTTGCAAAATTTATGTCAACTGGTTTGCAAAATCCCTGGACATATAACAACCGGCCTGTATGAGCTGACTTCAGCATGCCACTACTTTCATCTTTTGTAATTTGCTGTCACCAAATCATACCAGGACAGCGCTTGAGGAATCAGTGATGTTAAGCCTTCCTAAAAATACAGAGTGATGGCATCTACTGATTTTTCCACTAACAGTCTATCTAAATATTGTTTAATACTTGAAAAAACTTCTGTGAGTTCTTCATTTAATTGTGGAAAGAAACTAAGAGTGGATTAGACAGAGTTTCCCCTTTCTGAAACCGGATTGTCTCTTAACAAGGAGGTATACTTACTGAGATTTTCAAGCATTCTACCCTCCCACACAGACTCCCTTGGCCAGTCTGATGTAGGAGTTATCAAGCTCGCCCCCCTGGGGTACCCGATGTCACGCTTGCCCTCCTAACACACGGAAATCACTGTATCTAATAGATTCAATAGACATAAGCCTAAACTTGGCCATCTGTTGGTGGAAAACTCCTTTCCTACTAGGTCAAAGTGCAAATGGCAGGCCTATAATATGGCGGCTAGAGAAGGTGGCTTCCAATTACTACTATCACCACTACTAAATCCTGTCACTGAGGGCACTGCCAGCGCTCTCCAGAGGGCCAGCTTAAGTTTGGAGTGGGAGAAAGACTGAGCGCTTCCTCCCTAAGAGCACAAATGCCATGAACACGCATCCTGGGCCTTTGCTTTGCCCAGATGCTACCAGCTGTGCTAGGACCAATTTTGGGAAACCAGCATTTGGAGGAGAGAAGGGTTAGGAAGAGTCTCAGGGAGACAAGGTGATTGATCACGACAGTGGTGGCCGTGGTAGCAACAGTGGCTGGTAGCGGCCATGTACAAGCAGGTGAAGATTCTCTTACTTGGCGCCCTTATTGCTGAACTTCGTTAGCCATGGAGATCCAACGAATGACTGACATCTCCTTCAGTAATGGAAACTGCAGTCCTAGAAAGCCCTTTCTTAGTGGGAAGGAAATGGAACTTAGTAATTAAAACTTAGAAATTGTCCACATAGGATTTTTAAAAATATGTTTGTTTTCCACATACAATGGTCAGATGAAGCAACAGAAATTCACAGATTATCTAAAGCATCACTTTAGCTGATTATTTTCTTTCTCCTTACTATTATCAGATTTATTAAAAAGCAGAAAACTGTCTTTTCTCCCTTCCTCTGATGGAGGTGCTAGAGGGCAATTTTTAAGCTGCCTATTTTAACACAAGAGGTTCTAATAATCAGGAAAAGAATATATAACTCAGAAACTAAAAACTGATGTGCAAAACATTTTAAACATTAAGGTAGTTTTTTAAATTAGTACATCTGCTGTTTTTTAAAAACTTTGTATTACCCCAAAACTTGATTACATTTTGTGAAAGACAGTTTACTTTTGAAAAAGTTAACTTACCAAAAGGCAAACAATTTTACTATATCTTATAATTTTACTTGAAATTCTGTATATGTGGCTAGTGTTTACTTTTAAAAGATATTACTCTGTAGCAATTGCAACCAAATGTTTCCTATGCCATTTGTTTTGACAATTCTGAGAGATTTTAGTTTTAACACGGTAATATAAACAGATCAAGGAGAACTTTGGTTAAGGAAAAAAATTACATCTTTGGACATTTTAGTTATATTAAGCATCAGTAGGAGAGAAAACCACATTCCACGAGTATCAGAACAGGAAACAAACCTGTAAGACAGGCTTTTCTTTCCTATTGTTCTCATATTTTTATATGATTTATTTCCTGAGTTTTCCTTCTGCTGCTTGCTCAAGCTAAAAGGATTAACAAAATACCTTGGTCCTGCCTTTGTGTAGAGGGCGTGCTGGGTCTCACGTGTGCTTACTTACTGATTGAGCTGGACAGTTGGAAGATTTACTCTGGCAAATAAAGACCTCAGGGGGTGGTGCTGGAATTTCCTTTTCCAAAAACTTTGCCCCGTCCCAGG